CCCTCCGCCCCTCAATAAGGTCAATATTTTATATCAGTTTTAGGTAATGTATTTCGAAATAAATATCATCACCTGACGATGTTAACTCCTCTCATTTAAGTAACCAAAAAGCAGGTCAAACAATCATTTTTACTTAAACGAATTTTTAAAATATTCCGGCTTCTAAATTCTGACACCCGGTCCAAGAGGCTCTCTTTATCCCTCCCTAGTCCTGACCCTGATTGATTCACATCCAACACATTTTTTAATTTATCGGAACATTCATAACAATTTTGGCTTTGCGCCAGTGGCGTTGTTTGGTGAAGGTGAGGGGAACTAATTTGACAAGTGGAATATGCGGTCCTTTACTGGGTTTGCCGAACCCTGACGGCTTTAGGTTAGATTTTTAGGTTGCAGACACGTACTTATCGGAAGGAAATGTCAAGATTCACTCCTCGGAACTGCCACAAAATAGATATTAACTGATCCAGGTGGGAATCGAACCTCCAACGTTCGCAATCGGGCACTCTGAAAGTATTCAACACAATATACTCATCCATCATGTCCTCAGTCGTTTCCTGATAGCGGGCAGTCAAATTACTTAAAGGTAGCTGGCGTAGTGCACGTACGCTCGTTTACTGTACTAAAGGTCATCTAAAGGTGGTAGCTCGACTCTTCTAAGTGGTGCAGTTTCGAATGACTGAACAGCTAAGGGCAGGCGGCGACTTTAATAGAATTATCATATATTCAACTAGCATGCGGTTCGAAATGCTTGGTCAGTGGATGTTTTACAAAAAAAAAAGTTGATCTTGCTCTAGAGCGTCATCAATATAGTAACTTGTGTAATATACAGACGTTGTGTAATAAAACGGCTGGAGGTAATCTATATATTTATCTTTCTACACATTGACTCTACTGGCTCTGTAGGGCTTTGGCCTGCAACATTATTAGTCTTCTGATGTCTCATCCACTTGTTCCTCTTCACTGCGTATTTTGTCCATTGCTCTACTATCTGGCACTGGAGGTCTGCCTCCACATCATCAAGCCACTTCAAACGTGATATTCCTTTCGTTCGCATTCCTTCTGACAATTGATATAGCAGCTTTATATGAGGTTTGTTTTCAGTATTTATTCTCGCAAAACAATTGTTCTTTATTATATTATGACGTTTCGGGATCTACTTTCATATCCCATCTTCAGACAGTATCTTCATCCTATATCCTCTTATTTTTTATAAGATTTGTAATAATTAGTTATTTTAATTTTTTATTGTCATATTTCATTCCTTGAAATTTTTCCAGGTAATGATGTGAGGGTTCTGCCTGTGACAATCACATCATATGCATTGGTCATTTGCCTAGTTAATCTATTCATGATTGTTACTACAGATTTCTTCTTTATGTATCTAATTGCTATTTCCCAAATCTATATTAAACAAGATGAGGGGCATATGATCAATTTGTCTATGGCCATTCGACACGTCAAAAGCCCTGAAGAAGTCGTCCTGAATCTTCACTTGGAACTTCGTTTTTAATAAATTAATATTTTTAAGCTGCTTTAGATTCCGTGCACTAGTAACTTTTCCGCAATTCTCTATCCGTAGAGCCCCTTGAAAATCACAACTAGGCGTTGTAGATCGATATTATACTCATCCTGTATAATAATGTATAATGTTTTGTTCTGGCATTATCTTCAACGAGAAAATATGATCTATTGTATATCGGCCGACTCTGAAACAGCTTTGCTATTCTCCAGTTTTCCACTGGATCCACTGGATTTACTTCCACTTAAGTAAGCATTATTTTGTTTGTTATCACTGACAGCACTTTAGTGTCTCAAAGGAGTTCTTTACCTCTAAAGTTACTACATGCCAGTCTGTCACCTTTATTGCCTATTGGATATAGTAATGCGGTGCTCCATTCCTGGGGCATCTATTCACCCATCCAGTTGTCATACATCTCTTCACCAAACTTAAATAACTCACCTTGTGGCTCATTGCTATCTGGTGTCTTGTAATTGTAAAGATATTCAGTTATCTCGATGATGATATCTTCCTTGACTGGTGAAAGTTTATCAACTGCATTATCTTGCGGTTAGGTATGGTGCATATCAGAGATGGGCAAATGCTACTCTGAGTACTGAGTGTCATGTATTTTTACTCAAATATTGATTTTTTTTTTTTCAAAGAATTTAATTACTACTTCATTTGATGTCTCACGAATAACTGAAGTAGTGATTGAATTCCCAATAGTAATTCAATGTGAGTAAAATACATGGTACTCGGTACTCAAAGTAGCATTTGCCTCACTCTGGTGCATATTAATGCATGGTCTTTCTGGTGGTATAAGAATAAATTTTATTCGGGTATTAAAAAGTTTCTGAAAATGGTCAGTAGGTGCATCACAGACAGCTCTAAAAAGATTGCTAGTCTTATCTTTTCAAAATTCCGGTCGGGGCTTTTAATAAATAAATAATAATCCTGATTTGAGATATCTAATTCCCTTGTAAAACTACCTTGTTGGCCGAGAAATTATCTTAATTGGAGGTAATATCCTATGTCCATATTGTTTACAGTAAGTCATTTTATCTCCACGACTGATTTCAACCCACTGGAGTACGCTCAACATAGAAAATTATAACGGCGGCATCAACAGACATTTTTTTCAGCCATTTTATGAACAATATCCGTTATGGGTAGAAATAAGAAAAGGATGAACGCACCAGTAATGGACAGGGGCCCTGGTGATGGACAGGTTGGACTTTAAATGTAAATAATAAGCTTCCTTGGTGATTTAAAGGTTCCAGTTTTTTCTAGATTGAAGAACAATGCCTTCTATTGACAACTGTATGAACAAAGTTACCAAAACCAAATTTTAAAATGCCTATCATTGTTGTTTCTATAGTGTTCATGGGATCAGCGTGTCTCGTACCTTCCTAATACAAGTTTTGCTAAGAGTAAGTTGAGCACTTATGTTATCATATCTTTATCAATATGTTTATAGTTAAATAAAAATTTAGACTTTTCTAAGGTATGTCCATTGCTGGTACCGATCCTCTTTCCATTACTAGAGAAATTGAAGTTCGGGGTGTCCATCACTTGTGCAAAAAGTTGTTTTTTTAAAATGGAGATTATATCTGCACAAGTGAATATTTTTTCAATGTTAAAGTGCTAAATAGAAAATGAAGACCCTAGAGATTCTAAATGTCCAACGGAGAAGTTTATAGTAACTATAATAATTACGGCGGCATAAGCCAAAAATTTTCTTAGCTATGTCTATCATTGATGTGTTTACCCTACTAGTTTTTATTTATTTTTTTTTTTTTGTTGCGTTATATCACAATAAGGAAATTGGTCATAGTGACGAAAGAGTGTATGTACACCAATCGAATTATTAATAATGTCGAATATTCCCGGATTGGAGGTGCACACTTATATTATGCAGGTGTGGGCAGCACAAGTAGTTCATTAATGGCTAGATGAGATTCGGGCAGCTCATTACATTAGAAGCGTGAGATACCGGAAGGTTATCTAATGTTCAGTCTTAAATAATAAATTGGACAAACACATTCATAGCGTTGATGGTGTAGCGGCTCTGCGTGTAGTTCACGCGTCCGCTACGAGACTGCGCGACCACCTGAAGCTCATATCAGAAGATGATTTTTATATTTTATATCTTGTATATATATAACTTTGTAAAATGTATATATTTTTATTATTGCAAAACCTGTACTTTCAAACTACGTTTATTTTATTAAATAAAGATGAAGGTATATAAATCAACTGATCAAACAAATAAGAGCAGAATAATCGGGTAAGATTTGACAAAGTCTATATTAGAACATTTAAATACCAATCCGCACAATATCTATAAATTTCATGAAAAAGGCACAGAAAGAAGTTATTTTCTTGATTTCTACGCTAAAAACGCTGTTGGAAATTTTCGATTCTCAGGACAAACCATTGCCCAACCTCTCACTAGAATTTATTTCCCTTAGGAACTCTGCCTTAGATGTTGAGTGAGTAATTGTTTTAAATTCGTTTACTTAAATAAACTGATTAAAATATAAGAGCAGAATAATCGGGTACGACTCTCGTTACCCATCTTTCGCATGAAAGAATGATCCTCCTAGCCCTCTAGCTTCGATATCAGATACTTACCTATCAGTATATGGTTCATATACTCTTTTTGGTTCTACATCAAACCGCCTTTTTCTATTATTATATTTCTCTAACCTTTATTCTATTCTCTCTCTATCCAAACAAGGTCTGGATGCTGATCCGTCCGCTTGTACTCCCTCATACTAAGTCATGAGGTTGATCGCTCCGTTAGTATTTCATCCTCCCACAAAGTCTGGAGATTTATCCCTACGTTTCTGGTTACCATTCCTGCGGAATGTTAAGGTTGATCCATTACACCGCAAACCAATATTGATTTGGGTGCTGATTCGCCTGACACTTGAGGTCATTCTGTCTACTCATCTCCTTCATCCACGTAGTCATCTTACCTCTAAATTGAACAACGCTCTGTCGAAGCCTTCTAGTAACTGTATATTCCGTACAATACCTCGGCAATGGTAATGAAACTAATCGAAGTACAGTAAATAGATGTTAATTAGGTCCACAATGTTTAACTGACAACTGTGAAGTGCTCTTATAGGATAAGAAGAAACGATTTGACACTGCTCCATTCATTTCAGGTCAAAACTGTGGGTAGACCATAGTTTTAGATGTTTAAGTGAAGTGCACAGAAAAATACTCGGCCAGATGATACACCTGTTTACAATAAAACGATCTTCCATAGAGCAGGTAATTTTTCCTTGGAATCGAAGACATTGAAACAATAAGAACATTTTTTAAGATATATAGAACACGAAACACGTTTAGAACCACTAGTTTATATTATTGCTTTTATTAACTGAGAGGGTACGCTAGTTGTCAATATTAGAATGAAAACTGGGACGTAACTTTTATAATAAATTATACTGCTTTGGTTAATCTCTATAGCCTTCTCTGTTTTGTCATTAAAGTTAGGTGCTTTGGTTTTGTAGACATAAACTATTTTTAAACGTGGATCATCGCAGCTAATATTAATATTAATTTATAATATAGGAAAAATAGTTTTAAAAAAACATTTAAAATGTCTGCCACTGATAAAGAACCTACTTGTGATTCGAACATGAAAAGATATTTCGAAAATTATATTTTAGTGGATGTGGGGGCAAATTTGACAAATAGGAAATTCAGTAGAGATTTAGAATCCGTTATTGCTAGAGCCAAAGATGCAGGTAATATGGAGTAAAAACCTACATGTTTATTGTATTCATATCTATTATTTCAGTAATCACAAAACAAGGTGTGTGTTAAATTTTCTGTTTTTATAGTATTTTGTTTGCTGTTAAATACAATGACCTATGTTGTGATTTTACGTACAATATTTCAACAAACTGGAGCTAATGTTAATATATATTAAATTAATTACAGTTAGTTTTAAGAAAAGTTTCAATGCAATATGAAACTTTTCTAAAATTCATTTTTAAGTTTATTTATGTTTGTGGTCACGTATTATTCTAATAAATTTACTCTGATTTTTATAATAATTTCTGAGTCTATTTGACTATCAAATTAGTATCAGTATTGATGTCACCCAATTAAATTTTTAAATGTCTCAGATAATATTATTATGGGTTTCATTCCTTTATATTTATTAATAATACAATTGTTTTCTTATATTCAATCAAAATCATTTTGTTGGTGAATTGAATTCTCACTTGGCTTTCTGGAATAATTGGTTTGTAATTGTTTCTCATTTTATTATAGAAAATCATTTTTACACAAATTTTGACAATTATTATATGTGCTAAAGTTATAACTCATATCCCAGTGATTTGATTGTTTGACTCTTAAATTTCTTTTTTATTTTGTTTTGTTGGTAGAATATTTATTATATAGTATAATCATTTCTTACAATTGTTTTGTGGGGTAAACTTTTAGGGGCTGAAGACCCCCAAAATGGTAAAATATAACTGTTTTATGAAAAAAATTATCTCTAAAAGTATTATTGTTCGTCTAATTACATTTAATATGGCTTACGGAATCAGTTAAACACCATTTCATATAGGTAGTTAGTTTCTTTCTTTCTTCCGAAGTAATTATCCTAATATATATATATATCCAATAAAAAATCTTTTGGGCTGAAGCCCCTCCCCCCCCCCCAAATTAAATCCTGGATCCGTTAATGCTATTTCCTAAAAATATTAAATATAATTGTTTAAGTAGGACTCCTTTGAAGAATTCATTGCTATGACCTGTTGAAATCCTTTAAAATGATCAAAAAGTACAAAAATTCCAAATAAAGATATTTTTCATCTTTATTATATTGATCACAGCCTCTGGCTTCTTTTAGATTTTTCCAAGGAACAAATCCACATCCCTTTCTACTGAATGGTTGGGCGCCTTACTTTAATAGTGTTAGCATCAAGTTTAAACATTCAATGTTTAGAGTTTACCAATGGACTGTATGATGTCTTTTAATGCCTAATGATTATTGTTTATTAAAATATTACTTAATGTTCTAGGGGTTCAAAAAATTATTGTTTCTAGTACATCACTGAAAGGAAGCCGAGAAGCTTTGAGATTATCTCGTATTTACCCAGGAACCCTCTATGCTACAGCAGGTAATCTTGTTTACTGTATATGTTTTATAATTTACAAAATTAATTGTTAAAAAGTAATTTAAGTAAGTATGTTTGTATGTAATTAAATATGTATGTTTTTAGATAATGTTATACTCGAAAAAATAATTGGTTATATGTGGAAGTATTTTAAAATTAAATATAAATTAACAAAATTATTTTATCTGTAAATGATTTTAACGTTTTTTTTGTCTACTATTTTTTAGGAGTTCACCCCCATGAAGCTAAATCTTGGTCAGATGAATCATTGAATGAATTGAGAAATATTGCTAGTAATAGTGAATGTGTATCAATTGGAGAATGTGGCCTTGATTACAATAAAAATTTTAGTCCACCTGAAGTACAGCGCCTCGTTTTTAAGCAACAGGTACTGTATACACAGTTTCAAATTATATTCATATATTATATAATATTCATATATTATATTATATTCATATTCAAACCTGACCATTTTTTAATATTGGTTGTTGGCGGTAGTATGTTCCTAGAGGTTAAGAGTTGTTTTGTTATTCCCCATTCCTGATGTGCAATTTTAGTTATAATGGAGCATTTGAGCCATGAACTAAGTAAATATATCATAGAAATATTTTTCAGAAAGAACTATTCTTTGATCTTGATATAATGACAGCTTTGTTTATATTTTAATGTCCTTCCTCATGGGCCAGTTCCATCTCCACTATTCTGCTGAAGGTTTAGAACTATCAAAATATAGTTTTTGTTACAACAAAGAGAAGATGGGAGTTGCATCAGGGTTACGAGGTCACCTGCTAACATCGAGATTGTAATAGTTGTTTTTCTGTGGACCTATCTCAGTATCTAAGGATGTTGATAGGACTGTTTAATTGACTCTTCATGAATTGACTTGTCTTTCATTTTCTTTTTTTGGCAGCTTGCTTTAAAACTTATCCTAATACTTTTGCTGGTTATTCATATTATGTATATTGTAATAATTATTTATTTCTAACAAATTATAATGCAGTGGTTGAGAAAAGTGGCCAGTTCTTATATGCTTGAGATCTTGAGTTGTGTCAAGTAAAGACACAAATCATATATATAATTATTCTCTTCAAAATGCTACCTTCCCTACATCCTGGAAAACCGCTCTAGTACACCCCTTGAAAAACACCTCAAACCTATCAGATCTTAATGATTTCCGGCCAATTTCCCTTCTTTCAAACCTCTCAAAATCGTTAGAGCGATTAGTCCAATCCCAGCTATCCCATTTTTTAGAGGACAATAATCTCCTAAATCCCTACCAGTCCGGTTTCAGGCCTGGTTATTCTACTCAGTCTGCCCTAATCAAAATTTCCCAAGACCTTCATACAGCCATAGATCAGCAGAAACTAACCATCCTTATTCTCCTAGACTTCTCCAAAGCTTTTGATTCAGTAGACCACAACATCCTCCTAACCAAACTTAAAAATATTTCTTTTTCTTCTAGTTCCCTTAATTGGTTCCAATCCTTCCTTACCGGTCGCTCCCAATATGTTGCAATTCCTAATAAACCCCCATCAGAATCTCTACCTCTGTCTCTACCTGCGACCCACAAGGCTCTTCCTTATCCCCCACCCTTTTCTCCATCTATATAAATGACCTCCCATCTTCTATCCTGCACTGTCAATACCACCTGTATGCCGACGATATTCAAATTTACCTCTCCTTTAATCCGACCGATTTCTCAGATGCCATTCTAAAACTTCAGGAAGACATTAACAGAATAAGTGCTTGGGCGAACCTCAACAGGCTCACTCTGAATGCCGAGAAGACAAAAGCCGTCTTGATCGTATCCCCCCACTCCTCAAATCCTACCCGGTATCTCCCAATCTCCTCCTGAACAACTCACCTATCTTATTCCACACCTCTGTTAAAAACATAGGTGTTACTTTTGATCAAACCCTATCCTGGAAACCACACATCTCCCAAATTTCCCGTCGCACTATCTCCACCCTAAAACAATTCAATCGTCTACGATATCTCCTTCCATATAGATCCCGTCAACTCCTAGTTTCCTCCCTTGTTTTCCCCCACTTCGACTATGGCTGTATGGTGTACGGTGGACTCTCGGGAGATTTCGAGGCCAAAAGCCTCTCTCTGGAATTCCATTCCTGCTGATATTCGACACGCTCAATCAGTTTCCTCTTTCAAACCTCTCCTCTTTAAACACCTACTCCTTTGTCAATCCGACTGATTGCGAAATATACTTAAGAGAAATATCTAAGCACTCCCTGAGACTACCTCAATTTGTTTAGGTTATTCTAGTTTCTTATATATATATGTACAATTTTCTTGTTCATTTCTTCCTCTTCTTCAGTATTTATATTTTTAGTCGACTCATATTGTAAATATATAATCTAATTGTAACCACACAGACATACAATCTGGACTTATAATTTGTTCTAAAGGGACAACAGTCCCAGAATAATAAAATATTTTTTCATTTCATTTCAAAAATTTCCATCGCAGGTGAGTGTTTCGTTGTTTTTCTGTTAGTAGAGCATTTCAAATAAAATCAGAAGACTCTAAAACTTTAAAACATATTTAAAACTTTTTAAATACAAGTTAAAGCATCTTGCTTGGGGAATGTTTATCTATTCATCCAATTCACTAGATCTTACTTTTTCAAATTAATGCTTGTTTTGATTGATGCCACATGCACTCTCCAAGCAGTACTTCAAAAGGTACGGAGAAGTGGAAAATTAGATGTCTGAATGATTTTCCTTTAATCAAAAAAGTTCATGTGCTGGAATATATTACTGGAAAATATGACCTCAGTAAAAGAGTTCTGCTGCTCATGCTATCTTTTTTTTTCTATATACACTGTGTGAAAGGACATGGTGACTTAAATTTTATAAATGTACACTATTTAAAATATTACATTGCCATATTAAATCAACAAATATTACAAAATCCTTAAAGTATCAGACAGATGAAAGCAATAAAAATCATATGTTTAAAGATTTTTTTTTTTTTACTTTATAGGTTGAATTGGCATGTGAAATGCATAAGCCATTGTTTATCCATGAAAGAGATGCTCATGAAGATTTGCTTGCTATACTACAAGAGTTCAAAGATGTTCTTCCTCCTTTAGTACTGTCATCTTATAGTGGCTCATGCTTACAAGCTCAGAAGTATCTTGAAATGGGAATGTATTTAGGTTTAACAGGTATATCTTTATTTTAAATTTAATTTTGTTGAGTTGCTAAATATTCCCATTATTGGCCAAATATAGGTTGACGTTTTTTTAAAGAAACAATGAGGATTCAAACTATATTCAGGATTGACTTAAATTCATTTGGGAGCCATTTAGGAAAACTTAAGTTTAACCAAACTAGCATCTTTTAAGTTGTTTCATAGTTAATTTTCATATCTGCTTTCGGGTGGGTAGACCTGGGCAGAATTTATTTGAAAAATATTCCCGGAATAAATCCCTAAATAAACCTCGATAGTTATTTCCGAAATAATTTATTTCATGAAATAACCTGACCATTATTTCCGAAATGATTATTTCGGGAATAAATTATTTCAGGAATAACGATATCTGAAATGATTATTTCAGGAATAATGTGAAATCTGAAATAATCATTCCGATCGACTTTTAGATATAATCAATATCCCGGGTCGACTGTTATGTTTTCGGGGGCACTTATTATAAAAATAATGTCAAATTTGAGATTGCGCCCCCTCCCTCCACACTCCAGCATCGACTTTTTGTAACTTTTCGGATTTAATCCATATCAGAGTCGACTCTTATGTTTTCGGGGGCGCTTTTTATGAAAATACGGTCGAATTTAATATTGCGCCATCCCCTCCCCACCCCCATCGACTTTTTGTAACTTTTCAGATATAATCGATCTTAAGGTCGACCATTATGTTTTCGGGGACGCTAATTATAAAAATAATGTTAAATTTGAGATTGCGCCCTCCCCCACCTTCTCACATCAACTTTTTGTAACTTTTCTGAAATAATCGATATCAGGATCGAATATTATGTTTTTGGGGGAGCTAATTATAAAAATACTGTCGAATTTGATATTGCACCACCCCCTCCCCACCCCCATCGACTTTTTGTAACTTTTGAGATATAATCGATATCCGGGTCGACTTTTATGTTTTCGGGGGGCGCTTTTTATGAAAATACTGTCGAATTTGATATTGCACCACCCCCTCCCCACCCCCCATCGACTTCTTGTAACTTTTCAGATATAATCGATATCAGGGTCGACTTTTATGTTTTCAGGGGCGCTTTTTATGAAAATTCTGTCGAATTTGATATTTCACCACCCCCTCCCCACCCCCCATCGACTTCTTGTAACTTTTCAGATATAATCGATATCCGGGTCGACTATTATGTTTTCAGGGGCGCTTTTTATGAAAATGATGTCGAATTTGATATTGCACCACCCCCTCCCCACCCCCCATCGACTTTTTGTAACTATTCAGATATAATCGATATCAGGGTCGACTTTTATGTTTTCAGGGGCGCTAATTATAAAAATACTGTCGAATTTGATATTGCACCACCCCCTCCCCACCCCCATCGACTTTTTGTAATTTTTGAGATATAATCGATATCAGGGTCGACTTTTATGTTTTCGGGGGGCGCTTTTTATGAAAATACTGTCGAATTTGATATTGCACCACCCCCTCCCCACCCCCCATCGACTTCTTGTAATTTTTCAGATATAATCGATATCAGGGTCGACTTTTATGTTTTCAGGGGCGCTTTTTATGAAAATTCTGTCGAATTTGATATTGCACCACCCCCTCCCCACCCCCCATCGACTTTTTGTAACTATTCAGATATAATCGATATCAGGGTCGACTTTTATGTTTTCAGGGGCGCTAATTATAAAAATACTGTCGAATTTGATATTGCACCACCCCCTCCCCACCCCCATCGACTTTTTGTAATTTTTGAGATATAATCGATATCAGGGTCGACTTTTATGTTTTCGGGGGGCGCTTTTTATGAAAATACTGTCGAATTTGATATTGCACCACCCCCTCCCCACCCCCCATCGACTTTTTGTAACTTTTCAGATATAATCGATATCAGGGTCGACTATTATGTTTTCGGGGGTGCTAGTTATAAAAATAATGTCAAATTTGAGATTACGTCCCCCCCCCCCCACTTCCAGCATCAACTTTTTGTAACTTTTCGGATTTAATCCCATATCAGGGTCGACTTTTATGATTTCAGGAGCGCTTTTTATGAAAATATTGTCAAATTGATATTGCGACATCCCCCTCCCACCCCGCATTGCATTTTGTAACTTTTCAGATATAATCGATATCAAGGTCGACTGTTATGTTTTCGGGGCCGCTAATTATAAAAATAATGTCTGATCTGAGATTGCGCCCTTCCACCCTCCCGCAACAGCTTTTTGTATCTTTTCAGATTTAATCGATACCAGGATCGACTAATATGTTTTCGGGGTAGCTAATTAACAAAATAGGGTCGAATTTGAAAAAGATATCCCAAAAACATAAAAGACCACCCTGATATCGATTAAATCGGAAAAGTCACTAAAAGTCGATTGGGGGGGGGGAGAGGTCTAATTCGACCATATTTTCATGATAAGCTACCACGAAAACATAACAGTCGACCCTGATATCGATTAAATCCAATACGTTGCTAAAAGTTGATTAGGGGGAGGAGGGGCGCAATCTCAAATTAGACCATATTTTCATAATAAGCTACCCCGAAAAAATAATAGTCGACCCTGATATAGATTAAATCCGAAAGGTTGCTAAAAGTCAATTAGGGGGGGATGGTGGGGCGCAATCTCAAATTCGACCGAATTTTCGTAATAAGCTACCCCGAAAACATAATAGGCGACCCTGATATCAATTAAATACGAAAGGTTACTAAAAGTCGATTGGGGGGGCAGGAGGGGGCGCAATCTCAAATTAGACCATATTTTCATAATAAGCTACCCTGAAAACATAATAGTCGACCCTGATATCGATTAAATCCGAAAGGTTACTAAAAGTCAATTAGGGGAGGGGATGGTGGGGCGCAATCTTAAATTCGACCAAATCTTCATAATAAGCTACCCCGAAAACATAATAGGCGACCTTGATATCGATTAAATCCGAAAAGTTACTAAAAGTCGATTGGGGGGGAGGGGAGCAGGAGGGGGCGCAATCTCAAATTCGACCGTATTTTCATAATAAGCTACCCCGAAAACATAATAGTCGACCCTGATATCGATTAAATCGGAAAGGTTACTAAAAGTCAATTAGGGGGGGGATGGTGGGTGCGCAATCTTAAATTCGACCAAATTTTCATAATAAGCTACCCCGAAAACATAATAGGCGACCTTGATATCGATTAAATCCGAAAAGTTACTAAAAGTCGATTGGGGGGGGGGGGCAGGAGGAGGCTCAATCTCAAATTCGACCGTATTTTCATAATAAGCTACCCCGAAAACATAATAGTCGACCCTGATATCTATTGTTTCAGAAAAGTTACAATAAGTTGATGTGAGAAGGTGGGGGGAGGCGCAATCTCAAATTTAACATTATTTTTATATTCAGCGTCCCCGAAAACATAATGGTCGACCCTAAGATCGATTATATCTGAAAAGTTACAAAAAGTCAATGCGGGTGAGGGGGGGGGGAGAGGGCGCAATAACAAATTCGACCGTATTTTCATAAAAAGCGCCCCCGAAAACATAATAGACGACCCTGATATGGATTAAATCCGAAAAGTTACAAAAAGTCGATGCTGGAGGGTGGGGGGGGCGCAATCTCAAATTCGACACCGTTTTCATAAAAAGATACCCCGAAAACATGGTGCATATTGGTAATTTTTTTATGTTATTTCTGAAATATTTATTTCTTGATTTTATGCAATAATTTATTTATGAAATAAATAATTCTGAAATAATAGTTATGAAATAATTTATTTCAGAAATAATTCATTTTGAAATAATTTACATTATTCCAAAGAATGTTAAAATAGTGAAATAATTATTTCAGAAATAAATTCAGAGTTATTCCATCGAGATTATTACGTTGACTGTTTGAAGTATTATTTCAGAAATAACCGTTATTCCCGAAATAATGCATTCGTGGAATAACCATGTGAATTATTTCAGAAATAAATTATTGCAAGAGTGCCCAGGTCTACTTTCGGGATGGGAGACTTAATATAGTTTACATAAATAATGAGAGGATATGTTCAGTTGGAAAGAGAAAATATATTCAACAGATTTCGTTCTAGTCAGGATGAGGAATGATCCATACATTCAAGGGGAATGGTTCCCTTGATTTGGTAACCAAAACAGAAAAATGACTGATATAATGCTATTAAGATCTTGGATAACTTGCTGTTTCCTAACAGATGGGAGCTCCAGTACTATATATGTTTCATTTCAGATGCAATTTTCCAAGAACTACTGGTGTTTATCTTATACTTCATTGTATGTTATTGCACCAATGTGTAAACAATCTTATTTTTGTAGTTCTAATAATGTTGAGTTTAGTGTCAAGTAAAGTGTGTTTGTGGCAAATTTTTTGCACTATTTTATTCAAAAGAAATATGAAACTGAAGCACACTGAATAATTTTTAAGACTTACAGTTGACATGTAAAGAGTGGCATGACCGCTTCAAAATTGATAATTCTAATCTTTGAGATAAAGAACGCTTTTGCATACGCATTTACAAAAAATAAAATTTTAAGATTATATTATGTTATTTAATACCAAATAATTTCAGTTCCTAAAATAATGGACTCCCTCAATCGATTGAATCCTGCAGTAATGGATGCAGAATAAATTGTGGAATTTCAGATATAAATAGGGTAAATCCTAAACTTGTAAAAAATTGCAAAATAGATTTATTTATTGCAAACAATGCAAAATAGATCAAAAAATATCATAAAGGATTTTGTATTTTAAATCTACTATCCAAGATTGGCATAGATCTGTTGAGAATTATAGATTATTGACCAGAAACAAAAAAAGATAAATCCCACAAATCTAAGCCCAAGTTTATAAGTATTATTAGTATGATGATGTAGAGATGGTTGACCGTTGATATAATATGAGAAGGAGTTAATTGGGGGTGCGGTCAAATAAATACTAAATTAAAATATAGTATTTATTTAATTTTTGCCGACGTTTCGACCCACTTTGCAGGCCGTCTTCAGGGCTACAAAAGATAGAAAACATGTTGAAAATAAAAAATAAATAAAAATAGATATAAAATAAGAAGAAGTTGTCAGGTACAGAAATAAAAAGATGATATCAGAGATATAGTGGGTTACAATGTAGTTAAAATATTAAGTATTATATATATATAGAAGATACAAACAAATTGAAAATAAGTATGAATAAAAATAAAAATAAAGGAGAATATAGCATGTAAGTTAAAGGTTGATAAAAAAAAAAAAAAACAAGTTGTACACAAACCCGCAGTGCTACATCCTATGGTATGTTTTGACTTTTATTGTGATTCTTTTCTTAAAACACCTATTTTTCAACTATACACCTTATTATTATCTTCATGCAGCCTACTATTCCATTACCGCTTTCAAAAAACTGAATGTCAATTGTCATCTATATATAGTACAACTTGTTTTTTATTATTTTTTTTATCATCATAACCTTGTTTTACATTTATACTTACATTCTAAAGTTCTCTTTTAAAATTATTGTTTTCTTATAGAGTTATTTATACTTAATAATCTATCCTAACGATATTACACTAAAGTTACCCTAATAATCTTTCAATTTCTTTACTTCTTAACCTTTAGTTCCGTTATCTGTTTTACCTACAATCAAATGTAACCTCCACTAGCTTGTTATCCACTGATATCTTATTATTGTTTTATCTTATTCTTATTTTAACTTTACTATAACAATACTTATTCAATTTTCAATCTATTTATTCGTTAACATTCATTTTCTTTATCTGTTAACCCACGGTTATCTAATCTCTATTAGTTTGTTATACACTTATTCCTTATCTTTTATCGCAATCTGTTTACTTTTAACTTACATGCTATATTCTCCTTAATTTTTATTTTTATTCATACTTATTTTCAATTTGTTTGTATCTTCTACATATATAATACTTAATATTTTAACTACATTGTAACCCACTATATCTCTGATATCATCTTTTTATTTCTGTATCTGACAACTTCTTCTTATTTTATATCTATTTATATTTATTTTTTATTTTCAACATGTTTTCTATCTTTTGTAGCCCTGAAGACGACCTGCAAAGTGGGTCGAAACGTCGGCAAAAATTAAATAAATTCTATATTTTAATTAAATATTTATTTTACCGCACCCCCCAATTAACTCCTTCTCATATTATTAGCATGATGGGAAATTGAGAAAAGTTAAAAAAAAAAATCACTTCATTGATAAGTTGTATTTATGATTGTTTATTTAATCATATCATTGGAAGAATAGTGCATTGATAAAATGGTTAATTTACTAACTATTTGAGTAATGAATACATTAGGCAATTTAAAGTGGTTTATCACGTATATCATAATTAGAATTATATTTTTTTCTTCTAATTTACATAAATAGATGGCAAATGTTCCATAGTTATTTCTCAAATAACTACATGTTTTATTTATTAGTTTTGAATTGTATATTCTATATTTGAACTTATAGGTTACATATCAAAAGACAACTCTGAGAATGGTGTTCAGGTACTGTTAGAAGGAGGTGACTTATCTCTTGATCGACTTCTTGTGCAAACAGACTCACCATTTATGTATCCAAATGCCAGAGCATCAAAATTGCCTGACAGAGTTAAAAATTCTCTAACTGAAAGGTATTTAATCTATGGTGTAATTTGGAATGAAGATCTTTCCAACATTTAATAAAGACTCTTGTAAAAGTATAAAAATTATTTAATAAAAAATTAGTAATAAATAAAATGGTAGATGATAGTGAATTTTTTTGGATTAAATTTAGCCATACATCCAGATCCATAATAAAAAAAAAATCTGACTTCTATTTAACATTACTAATATTACAAGAGTTTTTTGAATATTTAATAGTTGACCGTTGCATTATAAAGGAAGGAGATGGTCCGAGTATGCTACAAAGTTGTTAACTATAAAGCATATGGAAATGTAAACAAGAAATTGTATTACAAAGAAAAATTTGTTGGAAAGATAAAGGGTAAGAATATAATAAGTACAAAATAGATACATATCCTATATATTATAGAATTAAATTTATCAAATTCAACAAATAAAAATTCTTGTAAAGGAAGGAGATGGTCCGGGGTGGCGGTCATAAATAGGCTAAATAGTGGCAAAACTATTTTATTTAGCCATTTTTTTTATTATGTTTTGCCACTATTTAGCCTATTTATGACTGCCACCCCGGACCATCTCCTTCCTTTACAAGAGTTCTTATTTGTTGATGTTGATAAATTTAATTCTATAAAATATATCATATGTATCTATTTTGTACTTATTACATTCTTACCCTTCATCTTTCCAACAATTTTTTTCTTTGTATTACAATTTCTTCTTTATAATATTTTAGGGAACATTTTCATATGCTTTATAGTTGACAACTTTGTAGCATACCAGTCATTAACTTTTGTATTGGAATAGAAATATAAGATTGCAGGATAGTGTTAGCTTTTTTTTTTTTTCTCTCTCTCTTTATGTGTTAACTTCAATAGGTATTTTCTTTAAAGATAAAATAATCAGAATAATTTATGTTGAATTGCTTATGTCATGTCACCTTCAGACTAGAAAAACATTGGTGTAATATAATTGGTAATTGAAATTGATATAATTATTTCAATCAATGTTTAAAATGCAAACATATTTGAACGGCTGACTCATACTTGCACAATTAATGTAATGCTCATTTTTTTTTCAGCTTTATTTATTTTCTTTTTTTTTAGGTCACTTTCATTTCTCCAGAAGTACTGTACCTTCCAGAGAAATGAGCCATGTGCTCTTCCGACTATAGTTGAAATGATTGCTGCATTTTTACATAAAACACCTGAAGATGTTGCGCTATCTACATCTTTTAATGCATTAAAAGTATTTGGATTAAGTTAATTCTTGTTATATATTACTGTGAAATTTAATAACAATGACCGAAATTCTTCAGATAATTTTATTGTATTTTATAAAAAATAAAACATATCTTTATAACGTATATTATACTTTAAGGATTTAACTTCACTTAAATTCTTGAAGATACTGGATCTATAAATTACACAAAAAATAAATATTTTTATAGTTATTCTTTATATCATAATTAATTAAATTATTGTTATTTATTAGTCTATTAGAGTTTATATGAAATGTATAATTAAAAATATATATTATTTTAAAAAAAAATGTGTAGGTTAGTTGCCACTATTAACTGCTTTCATTCCCTTGTTCTTGCTGGTCAGCAACAGTTATAGATAAACAAAAAAATTAAGATAAAAAGTTTATTGTTACCTATATTTCTAAATGACATAACATGTTTTAAAGGAAAAGATAGAGGTCTCCTCTCTAGATACTTGCCAGATGTTAGAAGTTGTTCAGGATGCTTTAAGGAATCAAACCAAATTGCTGCCTTCAGTAATTTATTTATCTTTCCATAAAAAGTCCTCCACAGGTGCCATGATATCAAAATTGGGCCCCTTAATGTTATTTATGACCTATTTTTACCAACATACATTATTCAAACATTCCATACTTCTATTCCTAAATCTTTTTTTAGGTAATTTCAGCTTTACCTATCAATCCCTAAAGCAGTCCTCACCCAGAGATCAAAAGGGAGACAGGTTTTATTTTTTTAACTGTGACATATCTAAATAGGTGATTAAAATATACTACTCACTCTCTTGCAAGTGTAGGGGAGTCCTCTCATTGTTGGTCAAAGAGTCCATCAGACCTAATGCTTGGGCCATATGTCTGAAGAATATTCAACAATCATCACCAATATATTATTTTATATATAAAAATGCTCCTCTGTGCGGTAATGAGATATGCACAATTACTGAACTAATAAAACATTTTAGAATTCATATTAAAAACAATCAGTAACAAAAACAAGAAGATGGTCATGAGAATATTTCTCATAGTGCATACTAAACCTATATACAACTACAAAACCATTTTAGATGTCTATGACTGATGGTACTTAGACTTCCACTTCTGTAAAGTTAAACAACCTGTTTCTGGGAAAACCAAAGTAATCATATTCATAAGGTTGATCTGTCCCTTCAGGGTAATTTTTATTCAGTTGATCCATGAAATTTGGAACACTTCATAGGGACTGTTAAATTATATGTTGAAAAATTATCTTGCAGGAAGTTGAAGCAAAGTTATTGTCCTTTCGCCTATTCCTAATTTATCCCTGGGCTGGAAATCAGTAAACATGAGCCTGAAACTTGAACTGCAAATGTTTAACCGAAAAAAAAAAATGCAATGCTTAAATAAAGAACTCTGGACAGGTTCACTTAGTGCTGGTATAGTTTTTTAAGAATGTAAGAGAAGCAACATACTTGAAAGAAGCTTTATTGTATCCCTTTTGTACCTAGATAAGGTTAGACATAGACCCAATTCAGGATTGATTTCCTAATTGTAGCTATTTTATGTTGCTCTTCAGAAAAAAAAAGCTGTATCTTGACAAGACTGATCCCTCTACAGTGCAGGTTTAGTATCAATTTGAATGTATTACCCCAGTTTCTTAATCCTCTTCATCATCATCATAGTAGGCGCTATGACCCTTCATCCAGTCTGGGCCTCCTCTAAAAGCTTTCGCCAGTCTATTCCGTTTGTTATACAATGTCAATTTGGAGTCCTCCTGGCGCACAGTGTTCTAAACTTAAATAAGTTGACATACGGGTTTGTAAAGAGGATTTAAGTACCTAACAGCGCAAAAAAAATTTAGGTATTTTCCAATTTAATGAAAATTTCAAATTAATTTTTATGCCATTTCGTAGAAAATTTAATTCTGAAAAGAAAATATTCTATTACTTTCTTGTGAAAATCCCTTCTGAAGAAAGCTATGATGGAAAATAACTTTAAAAAAAAACATGAAAATTACTGTCAGTATGCAAGTACGCAGGTGTGCCGAAAATTGAAAAAAGTTCCTTAAGTTTTACGATCGCAGTCCTGGATGACATGTCATGGTATGGAAATCTGGAACACTCGTCGATGGGTATCAGTAGATACCGATTTTTTGAAGACGAAGGCAAAGGGCCTTTAAAATCTATTACGATTTTAAATCTTTCGAAAGGTTGTGTTGCTTTGATAAGTGTGCCTTCAGACTTGCAAAATCTAGGTTTTATTTCAGCGCAAATACGACATGATGAGATTATTGTTCATATTTCTTTATTAGAGTAGGGGAGATTTTTACTTCGTACCAAGTGGTATAACCTTGTTTCTCCCAAGTGACAGCATTTCGTGTAGACTTCTTAACTTGGATAGAGAATTCCCTTTTGAAGAGCAACTTCGTGAAAGGGTATCAGCAGCCTTATTCTCACTTCTTGGCCTGTATGTAATTTTATATTTATAATTTGAGAGTTCCAGTCTCCACCTCATTATTTTTTCGTTTTTGATTTTTTCTTAATTATCATTGCTAAACATAAACGAGACTGATCGTTGATCCATTATCAGACGAAGGTTTCTGCCATGAAGGTAGAGTCTCCACTTCTGCAACGCCTCTACAATGGCATACGCTTTTTTTTCAATAGATGAATGACGTTGTTCAGCCTTAGTAAAGATCTTGGAAAAAAAGCAAACGGTTTCTTATCTTGCGATAACGTGGCTCCGATAGCAAAGTCAAAAGCAGAAAAGTTAGTGTAGCATTGTTATCGATCGATCATACCACTGCGTTTTGGATGTCCTGTTTAATATGTTGGAATGTTCTTACAGCCAGCAAATTTAGAGGTGAGGAATTTTTGATGAGTACTTGAATTTTTTCTGCAAACTTTGGTATAAATGAAGCATACTGTGCGAACATGTCAAGGATCCGACGTAGAGATGATGTGCTAGTCGGGATAGGCAAGTCGTGAAGAGATTGTAACCGCTCAGAATCCGGGCTGCTTGATTTGTGGCTAATGACGAATCCTAAAAGTTTAATCGCGGACAATGAGAACTTACCTTTATCCAGGTTTAAGGTTAAATTTTATTCGTTAACAATCTTTTCTAAATTTTGATCATGTTCATGTTGATCCTTATCACAGATGGTAACGTCGTCCAAATATACCTCAGTTCTTTTCAAGACCTTCAATAGAAATTATGTCTGTTATAGCTCTCTGAAAAGCTGGCACTCCACTCCTATTTCCAAACGGAATACGTATGAACTGATATAGTCGTCCGCAGGCTTTAGAGGCCATGTAAGGTTTGTTCTCAGGTCTGATAGGGATTTGGTTTTAAGCATTACGAAGATCGACCGTGCTGAAAACTTTGTAAGAAGCCACTCTATTCACAATGTCATATCTGCTTGGTAGCGAATACGCATCCAACTCGGTGAATCTATTTATTGTTTGGGAATAATCGACTACCATCCTACGCCGATGATTAGGAAAATCTACTTCCAATACTTGGGTACGCCATGGCGAAATACTCTCTTCAATGACGCTCTCTTTTAACAATTTCCCTATATCATTTTCAATTAATTTCGTATCTGGAACTGTATGGCTACGAGATTTCATTAATATAGATTTACAATTAGGAAGTACATTACAGAAAATTTTTATAGGCTCGACATTAGCAACTACAACACTACAAATGTTAAGAAGAGCTTCAGCTCCACCGAATGTGACCTGAATTGAAGAATGTTTTTTTAGGTTGTCATGCCCTATTGTAATGTCTGAATATAGATTTTTGATGATACTAACTTAAATGTCATCGTAATTATGATCCTGTAAGCGAAGATCTATTATGCATTGACCATTGATTTGAGATTTCAGAGTAGTAGATACCATAGTAACATCCTATACTTTACAGGGGATCACAGGAATATTTAGCTTAGAGACAGTGGACTGGTTTATGAAAGTACCAGTACTCCCAGTATCTATCAAACCATGTGCATTGGAGCCATTAATCCTTACTATAACGACAGCTTTATTTAAATTTGAAGGTAAAGATGCCAAATAATTAAAGGAGTGAGCCGGAGAACGAGATGATGAAGAATATTCATGTTTTTTTTTTTTTTTTACATACCTTCTGGCATCGTAAACCAACGACTTCCTGTCCTACAGTTTCCTTTAACAATACTCCACTTATCCCTGTTGAGCAAATCCGATACCTAGGACTCCACCTGGACAAACGACTAACTTGGAATCCTCATACTAGACTGAAACTACAAGAAACCGCTCGACGTTTCCGATTACTTCAGCACTTACTAGACAAACGCTCTTAACTTCCCATTAATTACAAAAGAGTCATATACTTGACTATAATAAGACCTATTTGGACTTACGGAGTTGAGCTATGGGGCTCCACTAAACCATCGAATTCCTCTCGCATCCAATCCTTACAATCCAAAATCCTTCGTAAAATCCTCAATGCTCTTTACTTTGTTACTAATAAAATTATCCATAAAGATCTTAATGTTCCTTATGTTTCAGATCTGGCCCAATCCAGATACCTATCCTTCCATAATAAACTTCAGAATCATCCCAACCCTCTCGTTTCTAACCTTGCTTCCTCTTCAATTCCTGATAACCCTCCGAGGCGTCTGAAAAGAAGATGGCCCCGTGATCTCCTAATGTAGTCATATCATTAGAGTGCTACCATTGGGTAGTTACTCAGCAAGTGTATTCATGTCATTATATCAATTATGTCCAAATTTACTTGATGTATTTATGTAATACAGTTGTAAATGTCATAAAGAAATAAAAAAAAAAACATACCTTCTGGTAGTAGCCTTTTATGCCAAAGCCTCTACAATTAGCCTCCCTGGCCGGACAGACGGACCTATTATGCTTATGAATGCCACAGAAGTAACATTTTGAACTGATTGAGAAGCATATTGAGATTCTTCCTCGTTAGGGGTAGTTTCTGATTCTTTGTTTACTGAGGCAGCATTAATGGTGGATTGAGTCAAATATTGTTGGGGCTGATTTTCCGCTAATTCCAGAGATCTCGCTTGAGTAAATGCTTCTTCTAGAGTTAATGAGCAGTTTTTCAATACTCTCTGAAGTATAACAGTTGATAATAACCCGTCTATGAATGCATCTCTTACTGGTTCGTCTCTGTTGATTTCGGCACTGACA